AACATTTTCTGAACGTGTGTGGATGTTTTGCCTGAAGGAATCGGTTACGAGGTCATATTCTCAGGACCGAACTTGGGGAAAAACAATGCGGAACCACATCAGTATTTCTGCGTTTGGCGTTTCAAATCTAGGGGAACAATTCGCTATTTGTTACAAACAATTTTTTCTCCAAGAACTGTTCAGAATATCAAACCGCTTTTGATATTGCATAGAACATATAACTTTATCGAAAAAGCGATTTTGAGAACTCTAAACACTTTGGCCTAGTTTAAAAGGGAAATTTCAAAAACCAATAAATCGAATTTTTGGGTATTATCAGTGCTGCACCTTGAGTGCTGAATCTCGACTTTGCAGCAAACAAATACTACTAAAAAGAGCAGCCTCGAGAACCACTAAATTTGAAATTTGAACTTGATTGGAGAAATTTCGCTACTGAGCTTTGATTTTGAATCTTTCTTGAAATCCCGGATTCAGCATCTGAAGAGATAATGGATAAGGAGGCGGAACTTGCAATGTCTTGTCGTCCTGCCCACATCACTTAGGTGCGAGATTATGGCTCTGAGAAACTTCCCGCACCCGATCCCGAAAGCCATGTAGGTGTAAAAAGCTCGCAGTCGCAATTTCCCTCAGCAACTGCCTTTAAGCTTTGTGTACTTCAACTAGCTACTATCTAGCAGTTTCGAGCATTTTTCGAAACAGGCAACACCTGCTATGGAAAAACACTGAAATTTGAAAAACAGAAATTCATGAACTGCGCAAATGGCTGCTCATGATCGTCTAAGAAAATTAATTGCGCTTTTTTGCGGAATTTACCCTGTTTTAAAATCGATGATCTTGAATAATCGAAGTATAGAAACGCATGTTGAGGTACGAGGCTTTTACAAGAAGGCATATGAGATGCCCGAATTGGAAGTCCTAGAACAGCAACGTCAGGTAGCTTCGACTTTCATGTGCTCTGAAGTTCCGTTTTTCTGAGAAACTCCGCTTTAAGCGCGACGAGTTGATCAACACCATGAACGATGCAGAGAAGAATGAACTTGGGCAGCTCATAGAACGCATTTCGGTAAATGAACGCTTTCACTTAACTGTGAGGAAAAAATTGCATCTTTCAGAAAAAGGTGGATGAGGACCCGGTGCTCTCAGCCCATCGTTATTTCCACTCACCTCAGAGGGTCATCGACGACATGAGGAGAAGTCATGCTAACAATTGAGAGATCGAAATTTTTGACGCGAAAGTGGGAATTCAATTAACAGAAAGCGCAGCTATGGTAATACTGGATTATGTGCTTCCTATGTTGAATATAAAAGAGCAAAGCTTCCATAAATCTTTTTCATCCAGTATTTATATCAAACACTTCTACTTTTTATTTTTTT